TCGCGGATTTATAAGCTATTTAAAACAAAATGTGCCACGGATGTTAGCAATTTATTGAATCATCCATGGGGAACATTTGGTTGCTAAAAATTTGAGCGCTAGGTTGCATCAATCTCTTCAATTAGTCATTCATGCAGTAAACCAAATCAGAAGCAACGCGTTGAATACACGGTTATTTGCACAGTTGTGTGAAGAAAATGACGAAAACTTTCATCAGTTACTCCTCAGACTAAAGTATGCTGGTTGTCGAAAGGCTTATGTTTAACAAGATTCTTTTGAGACTATTTTAGAATTTTTGGATACTAAAGATAATGCTTAAAAGACAATTAAATAAAATGGAAAACTGTCCGGAAAACGAAGTTTCAACCTATGTTCAACATTTAAATGCCCTCTATTGAGAAACTAGGTTTAAGGACGTTTTGACTATGGTAATACCACCGTGGATAATAAACCCATATGGTGAGATAGAAGAAACAAATGAAAAAAATACGAGAGAAACTGATTGCACTAAGTACAAACAAAGTAATTAAGATTCAGTTTAAAAACGGTTATCAGCAACTCTGGATGCAAAACATCTTACCCTATACTTATCCCGTATTATGGAATATAGCGAGGAAATTTTTTTCCTTTCCACCCTCATACCTAGTGGAAAGAGAATTCAGCGTTGTTATCGATCTCCAACGAAAAAAAGAAACAGACTGGACATCATTAGCTGAGGAGAATTAAAATTAAACCTTACGAAGTTGGCGCCAAATGTTGATTATTTATTATTAAAGCATCAGGTTCATCCTTCTCACTAAAAAAATTTACTTGTTGCTTAGTTTATTTTTTGTGTTTATTTTATGTTACGTATACAGATACACACTTTTATTTTGAGTATTTTTAATTTAAATGCAATTATTAAATGTATAAAACTTAGCATGTGTTTTTACTTGACATTTTTAAAAGTAGACTTCACCACAGTTAGAAATTAATGAAAAATCAATATCAGGTAAGTTGGAGGTCTACCCAAAACCGAAAAACATAGCAAAGGGTCTACGACACAAAAAAAGTTTGGGAACCACTGATTTAAATTATCAAGCTACCAAAACACAAAACAAATTTGTAACTATATTTAACAAAATCATTGCTGTTTTCCTAGCAACGTTTTCCAAGCGCAAACGCCGCGTGCCTAAATTTATAAAGGTCCTGACAACTCATGTTTGGTTTTTTAGAAACTTTTTTGGCTAAGAGCTAGGTGCAGTGGACATTATCACAAACAACTACTTTAAAAGTTTTTTTATAGCTCTCCATAAAACTGGTTAGGAACACAGTATCGTCCGACTTAGCCAAGGCAGTCGCTGCCAATCTCAAGCTTTGAGAAAACGATGTAGTTATGGAAGCTCGCACAACTGGCCAACAAGGTAGTATTTGCAGATTAGTTTTAAGCGTAGACAAGCTCTTATCCAAAATCAAGCATGTGTCGGTGCTCAGCGTTTTTGATAAAAACTTTAAATCATTGAAACCGGCATTAATATTTGTCTCTATCTTGTTTACGTGCCAAAGTTTGGCAGCTCTTACCAAGTCGCCACAATTTTGTTCCCGACCAGACAATCTCTAACGTGCGCAACCTTGAAATTGAGCTCAGTTTATCTGCACCAACTGGTTGAGAAAAATGGGCTCTCAAAGCTTCAAAAATATTATTTTGGTAAGCAAAGCTTATAAAAAGCACAAAAAGATATTGCCAACTTTCCGTACAACCTTGCAGATTAAAGATGTAACCAATAACAATTTTCTGCAAGTTTCAAGAAAAATATAAGTTTAATGCACACAAAAGATATCTGAATAGAAATTGGACCTGTGTTTAAGTTTACCGCAAAGCATTTAGATTAGAACGTATTGCATGGCATCACTTGAAAATTTGAAGATAGAGATCACAATTTTGAAATAAAGCAGGAAACTTTTATGAATAAAGATGTGAAGTGTTACAAATAATATAAATATATAAATTACATTAATTTTTTTAATAATTTTGTTTCAAAAAACAATTAAAAAAATAAACACGCTTTGCTACCCATCCTATATAGGTAGTGAGGCGTGGTTTTTTATTTTTTTGGCTGCTTCAAAGTTAGCCTTTAAGAAACCCTGAAATTTTTCACGGACATTTTTGAACCAAAAGTTATAGTCCCGTTAGGGTATGCTCTTTAGACATCCTGAATTTTAAGGCGTGGTGTACAATACTTAAAAACAATAAAAATGAAAAGAATAGATCGTATTGTAAATATACGTGAATTAGGAGTGCATTAATTAAAAGTATGGACGGATTTACATAGGAAAAAAACAAAAAAAAACAACAACAAAAGAAATTAATAAAGAAAAAAGGTTAACAAAGTAAAGGTTGTTTTATTTATATTTATTTTAACGATGAAGAAAAAACTCAAAATATCGTTTTTAAAATTAATTTTTCAACAAATAGGACATTTATAAAAAAAAGAAAATTATTCGCTGTAAGGAAATGTTATGACCAATAAAAATAGCCATTCCTGTTTTAAAAACCCTCTTTAAAAATGGGGGGTTCTTGAAGAGCGAAAAGGAAAAAAAGAGATTAAAGTACTAGCCGCTAAAAATCATGAAGCTCTATTTTTATCTCCTAAAGAAAGTAGAAAAGCTGCTGGAGTAAAAAATAAAAGAATATATTTAAAAAAAATATATATCTAATGTCTCAGAGATCAAAACATTTACAAACACTTTGGAAACCTCTATAAACACGAGGAAGCTTGTGCATTAAAATGATTACTGATCTCACCGATAAACAATACTAGATGATCAGAAACTTAGCTCTTGTACACTGGTACGTTATGTATATTTAATCTACTTTGCACGATATTTTATTTATAAAATAAAAACCTATAATAAATATATACAATTTTTTGAGATTTCTGCAAAGTGTGCTCTTCAGATCACACTGTTAGTAGAATATCTAAAATTATTAATATGCCAAAATGTGGTCAAGATAAGAATTAAAACCAATTTTTCTATATAAAATTGGTTTTAATGGAGCATCAAACCAAAGTATTTATAGGCAGAAATCCTTCAAGTTCAATAATTATCCAGAAAAGAAGTAACTGATCTAAAAAATCAATAACTACCTATGAGAATTTTTATAATCATCTACAGAATTGATTGAATAAAGTAGTTAACACACTTACAGACAAAAAAACACATAGTTCTGCAATGTGTGAAAAGATAATTGTAACAAAATGAACAATAATGATTCAGTTAAAGCAAAAACGGAAAGAGAGTCAGCTTTGGCGCTCGGAATTTCAGCTTTGCACAACTAGATAAAGCGCTTGGAGTTTATTTTTCATTTAAGTTATAAAATGGAAATTTAAAAGAATATAAAAGTATGATATAAAAAGACCAAAAGTATAAGAAGTATGATCACTAAACTCAAGAAGGAAAAAAATTCAGTTTTTCTAAGAACTTCTAAGTCTATCTACTGATATGCCTAAATCTGGATTTGTCAATAGTAACGATGGCAATACTGACAGAAGAGCATTTTAAAAACCATGAGACTTGTTTTCAAATTAAAGTTGATCTTGATGTAGTTTAATTGAATAATATTCTCTTAACCATATTTTGTGGATATTCTACTAGTACCAATGAGTTGGATTTATACCGCACTGAAACAGCTAAAAGTATAACGTACACAAGCTGCTGCTTTGTAGTTCTTCCATATCAAACAAACTACCTATAGGAGTATATTCGGAAAACGCACAGGAGAGTTTAAACGAACAGATAAGAAATTCTAGACTTGAACACAGGGAAAAAATATCAAGGTTGAACACTATGATGAATCAAATACACGACCTTCTAGTAATACTAGATCAAAAGAATCAAGGATATTCCCAAACGTTATTCAATTGGTTGTAAAGTAAATGATAAAATAAACAGTAAAGTTTTTTCTCTATTTATTAACATTCGTTAAAAACCAATTTTATACAAATATTAAGTAGAGTAAACTATTAAAATAATGTGTTTGGGTTGAATATTCTAGAGCTAAAACTGTTTTTTAACCGTGAAGTATATTGGTTATAAAAAATATTTTTATTAACGCATTTGAAATATTTAACCCAAAAAGTATTGTTTCAACACATAACATGTTTGTTTATATGTTTATCAAATTTTGTTAAGTTTTGACAATTTTTAATTATCTTTAGTCACTGCGCAAAGGTGGAGTTAAATTTAATAGAGTTTGCAACGCTTCTGCACTCACGCATCAAACATGAAAAATACAATTTGGCACGCATACTAAACCGAACCGATATCACAGTATTCTGCGCCGCAAACTCAGAGAGAAATTTCTCATTTGAAACAGGATTTTCTGAGTTAATTTGCTGCAGAGCTTAATAGCAAATCACAAATCAAGTCCTTTGCAGCCAATAATTAAAGTTGAAAGTAACAATGTCCTCGATATCGTTGGACCAGCTGAAAAAGAGTTTACACATAGTCACCACATTGATGCTTTCAATATCAGTTTCAAAGATAAAGTAAGCCATTTTAAAATTGCTCTGTTCTATTATTATGTTGGTGAATTGTACGTGTTAGAAATCACGTAGATGCGTGTTGAAAGTCACGCATCTACGTAAGTTATTTCAACTGTAATTAACAGTATATTCTCATGGGACTTTTTAATTTAAGATATATAGATAAAAGATTTTTGTATAGGAGGTTAGAAAGAATATATAAAGCTATAGATTATAAACGTTATTAAATTAAATGGAAGCGACGATAAAACAAGCTATTTCGGCCATTATGCCACCGGTATTCGATGGCAAATATAGGCGGTTCGTCCGCCAACTACGAACATACATAACTGCGATGGACGTACCCGAATCCAAAAGAAAAACAATAATATTAACGTGTTTGCCACCACAGATTTATTCCGCACTAGAAGATCTATGCTTGCCTGCATACCCTGAAGATGACTCAGTTACCTACGAAGACATCGAGAAAACATCATGAAGCTTTTTAAACCGAAGTCATCGTTAATACTACGCTTTGAATTTGCAACTATAAAAAAAGCAAGTAACGAATATGTGACGGAATTTTCACGACGGATTACAAGAGCTGCTGAAGGATGCAAATTCATGGATAGAGATGATCGAATGCGCAACCAATTCATCACGGGTTTTAACGATGGTGTTACAATCAAACGGTTACTACTGGAATCTGAAGAACTAACTTTTGAAAAGGCTATAGAAATAGCTGTTACCCTTGAACGAGTAACCCAGGAAGCTCAACAATTAGATGGTTCCGAGAATGTAATGATTGGCGCAACATCGTTACTTTCACGGACGTCTGGTGCGTCCGGCATAAACAAAGTTAAATGTTTCAATTGTGGAAAACTTGGACATTTTACAAGGGACTGCAAAGAAAAATGCAAGACTTGTTCACACGATCATCAAGCTAAAAACTGCTTTAAACGATTGCAAGGTTTAAAAGGAAAAGGGAGAATCTGGAAATAATAGCATCCAGTACTCTCCCAGAAATGACGTTGCCATCATTAAAAGTGAAAATTAATGGAAAGCTCCGAACAGCATTAATTGATTCTGGATGCTCCATTACTGTGGTTCATGCTGAGTCCGCGCATGGGCTTGTGTTAAAAAGTCAAAAACTTATCACAACTTTGGGAGGAACTGTGCAAGTGCTGGGTGAAATGGTAATCAATCTGGAAATTGATGGAATACACCGGATGGTTAATTCTCTGGTTGTAAAAGAAAAACCATTTGGGTTTGATTTGATTTTTGGAATGAATGCAATTAAAAAATTTGGAGGAGTTATCATTTGTGGTAATAAAAACTGTAACGTCCGAATGTTAGCATGTGACAAAGCGAAATGTGGTGCCGTTACTACGACGAGAAAAAACGAAAACGAAATAAACGAATTAAAAATTGATGTCAAAAATACAACAAGAAATGAAGAGAACAAAAGAAACGAAATAAAACATCAGGACTTCACAGCAAAGTTCGACGGAAAAAAATGGACGGCATCATGGAACTGGAATAAAGAGCCTGTAATTGATAATACCATTTGTGAATACAAGATGAACCAAGAGCACGAACGTAGTTACCGTAAAGAAATACGTGAATAGATTGACTCTGGTATTCTTGTACCATATAACGAACTAATATTGGGACCACCAAAAGTATTGATACCGCTTATGTGCGTAGTGCAAGAAAACAAGGACAAAAAGGTACGTCCAGTGGGAGATTTCCGAGCTCTCAACGAATTTGTAAATTGTCATACGGCAAATGCGGACGTTTGTCAAGAAAAACTGCGTTGCTGGAGAAAAATAAAAAATGCAAAAATTCTCGATCTTAAAAAAGCCTACCTCCAAATTCAAATTGATAAAAAACTTTGGCCATATCAAACGGTGATTATAAATGGGCAACGGTATTGTTTTACCAGGATGTGTTTTGGCATCAATGTGGCTCCAACAATAATGACCACAATTCTTCGGCATGTGCTCAATTTAAATCCAACCGTAAAGAAAGCATGTGATAACTACATTGATGATATATTTGTGGATGAAAGTGTGGAAACTGCGAAAAATGTAGCGAAGCATCTGCTTAAATTCGGATTACAATGTAAACCTCCACAAGATCTTGAACAAGGACGTGTCTTAGGATTGAGAGTCGAAAGAAATAAAAATGGGGAACTGATATGGTAACGAGACAGTGTGGTACAATTCGAATCTTAAAATGCAGTCACACGATCACAGCTTTTCAGCCAGTTAGGAAAACTTATTGGACATTACCCAGTGGCAGGAAGTTTGCGTTTACAAGCTTCATACATCAAACGTTTAGCTGGAAATATACCTTGGTGTGATTTTATTTCTGAAGATTGTAAAGAAAAACTGAAAGAGTTGCTTTACCGTGTGGAAAAAGAGGATCCGGTTGGTGGAAAATGGCTGGTACCAGTTAATGGAAAAGCTGAGCTTTATTGTGATGCATCATCTATAAGACTTGGGGTAGTTCTTCTCATTGGTGGAGTAGTTGTTGAAGACGCAGCATGGCTACGGCCAGCGAGTGACACACACCATATCAATATAAGTGAACTGGATTCTATACTTCGAGGACTAAACTTAGCTAGTAAGTGGGGCATAAAAGAGTTAACAGTATACAGTGATAGCAAGAGCACCGTAGGATGGTTAAACGCAGTTTTGAAGGAAGAATATCGCGTAAAAACTCGGGGAATTTCTCAATTGTTTGTACAAAGACGATTGAATACTATTAAGGAAGTGGCAAAAGATATTCAGATCGCAGTACAATGGATTCCATCTGAGATAAATTTGGCTGATCGACTCTCACGAATCTCTCAAAAATGGTGCAGAACAGTGTGTGCAGCTGGATTACTTGAACAAAAAGACATATGGAAAATTCATTCAATTGGTCATTTTGGTGTTGCTCGAACATTACAACTTTGCTTGCGAAATAATCAGAATGTATCACGTAAGGAGGTTTCAGCAGTAATTGCGAATTGTAACCAGTGTAACTCTATTGATCCTTACTTCGTAAAGTGGAAGAATGGCCAACTAAGCGTAGAAAAAAATTGGAATCGGGTTGCCATTGACGTGACGCATGTAGGCGCTGAACTGTACTTATCAATGATTGACTGTGGTCCATCACGGTATACAATATGGCGTAAACTAGTAACTAAAGCAGCTGCTGAAGTTGTTGGTAGACTCGAAGAAATATTCTCTTTATTTGGTCCGCCAGTATGTCTTCTAATGGGCAACGAATTTCGGTCCAACACGTTAACAAGTTTTGCTGAAGAATGGCATGTTAATTTGGAATATCGAGCAGCACATCGAGCTCAAGGTAATGGTATAGTTGAACGTTTACACAGAACGATAAAAAGAACGGTCGCTCGCTCACATTGTTCAATCGCTCTGGCAGTCTTGCTGTACAACGAGACAATATCATCCAATTGTACTGAAAGTCCATCCAAGCAATTCAAGAAAAGATCGACATGTTTCATCCTAGGCGTCGATACTCGGAGGAAGGTAGACGAGAAAGGCATAAGCAAAAAATTCAAAGTGGGTGACAATGTTTGGGTAAAACCAACTCAAGAAACAAAATGTGACCAGCCGTGGATACCAGGAGTAGTACGAAAGCAAAATACTTTGTCGTTTGACGTGGAAACTGCGAATCGGGTATATCCGCATCACATTTCACACCTGCGTCGCCGTACAGACGTACAGAGTTCAAATGAATCAGTCAACGATGTTTTTTATAGACTAAACGATAAAACTAATAACGTTAAAGGAAGTTATAATGATGATGTCGCTCAAGTTCAAAATGATTCTCAAGAACTCAACGTGCTGCAAGTAACACGCTCCGGACGAACAGTAAAGCCCCCACAAAGATTAGACTTATGAGTTAATTCACCAAGAGGGCATGTTCTACTATTATGTTGGTGAATTGTACGTGTTAGAAATCACGTAGATGCGTGTTGAAAGTCGCGCATCTACGTAAGTTATTTCAACTGTAATTAACAGTATATTCTCATGGGACTTTTTAATTTAAGATATATAGATAAAAGATTTTTGTATAGGATGTTAGAAAGAATATATAAAGCTATAGATTATAAACGTTATTAAATTAAATGGACGCGACGATAAAACATGCTCTCCTACGTTTGTAAATAGTCAAGAAATTCTTTGGGCACCAGTTTTTTGAGACAATTAATGACTAATTTAATATATTCGTGCTATATTCACTAAATTTGACATGAGTTTCAAAGTAACCTATTTTTACGTAGTTACAACCTACTTTTGTTGGATGGAGATTTGTTATGTCTGCTATAGATTTTTTTTTAATTCTAGTTCACTTGTTACACTACTAAAACACTTTAACAAAATTTTTGAAGGTGGTTCATGTGATTATGACCATAGTCCACTGTGGGATAAAAGATTTATAGCTCAAATACTTTAGACAGATCAATGAAAACGTAAAACAATCTGCTTTAAATCGTTAGATAAATGATTAATCTGCATCATATATTATACAAAGTAGATTAAGGAAGATTATTTTAATGTTAATTCTACCAATTTATACTGAAAAAAACTGATTTATTACAAAGTGTACAGTAAAAAATGTTTTTAGTTTAGTTTTTTTTGCAACGTCTTTTTCCTTCCCTTCCCTATGCAAACATCAATGCAACAAGCTTGCAAACATTTAATGTTCACAAAAAACTCATTAGATCATTAAAAATTGTCCCTTATTTTTATATTTTTATTTTATTGTAATTAGTAGAATGAATTTTTACGCATGTCAGAAATTTCTAGAAAACAAATTTTTAGAAAAGTCTCAAATGACGTTTCTAAAAATTTGTTCATTAAAGTATTATCTTGTGCAGTTAATGAACTTATATATTAACTCCTTTTTAACAACTGACATAATTGATGTATTTAGAATACAATAAGCATATTGTAAAAAAAAAAAATGTTTTACCAAGTCAATTCGTTTAAATAAACATATCCGATAACATATGACGCAGTATTAATATAAGCTGATATAAAAACTTAATTGACTTTTTTTTAATTATATTCTATTAATAATCTAATTTTTAATGCAGGAAACGTTGGAGTTTGTATGAATTTCAATATAGAATTTTCTATTTACAGAAAAGTTCTATTTTTAATATCTTTTCAGTATAACTAAAAAAAAAATTTTTTACTAAAAAAAAGTTATTTGCACATTTTGATTACTTTTTCAAATAAGATAAAGATTCAAGTTTTTACAAATTTTCTTATTCAAAAACAGCTTTTAATAGTAATCTTAATAAATTTAAATAGCTTTTAATAGCTTGAATCATCTAAATTTATCTGCAAAATTTATTAAATATATCAATTTATTAATCACTAGTTAACTCGAATTTTTTGGTCAGTTGGGGTTTCTAGTTAATAGGAGTCTTTTGTATTCTTTATACTGAATATTGCTGATTATTGATGTATATATGCTGAGTATTGCTCATTAAAAATATAAATTTAAAGAAAATTAAAATAGAAGCACTATTTTCATTAAAGTTATAGTGCAGCCACGGGAAACGATGAAACTAGATTTTTAAAGCAACAGTTGCCCAGTGGTTAGTGTTCCGGACCAGAATCAAGATCGAAGCCGATTCTGGCCAGATAATGGTAAGAAAGAAGGCGTGAAATTCCTGGTTAAATACTTTCCTGTGGTTTTTTGCGATAAGGTCTTCTTGGAGTACCTTAATATCTAATAAAAATAAAACAAAGGTTCGATCTATTAAATTGGTTAACAAACGTATTTTTGGTGGGGTAAAGTATAGAGGTTAGTTAAGCTCATTGAGGTCAAAAGTGATATTTTTATATTCAAAAATGTTTGTTACTAACTTTTATTATATTACAAACAACCGAAAGAAAACTCACATTTAATTATTGATCAAAACTTTTCCCTACTTTCCCAGAGATTATTTTTTTTCTTGGTAGTTGGAGTTTTATTTCTGAGTTTCCGTTCGTAGCTTGAAACAACATTCTCTTCCTTTCTTGTAATATCAATGTTGTCTTTATGAGTTTAGTAGTTGTTTTTATTGAAGACAATAAAATGAAAAACAGCCCTAAATTCTTTAAATAAAATCTCAACAGATGTCTTATGTTATGGAAATTGAGATTCACCCATCCACAATTACTTACCTTATATATTTATTCATACTATTAAAAGGAATAAGAGAACTGGCCTTTCTATGACCAATGAATGTAAATTTAAATGCTATTGTTCATTGAAATCGAAAGAGTTTAGGGGCATTCTTTTTGGCACTTAATTAGACTAATGAATATTTAACCAAACTATGGAAATTATAAATGCATTTGCAAACTTATTTTTCTATAGTTGATTTCCTTGTGTTTAACACTGTCCATGTGTGTATATAAAACTTATACATGTGTGTAAGTGTGTGTGTGTTTCTTTATCAATCTGAGCATGCTGAATCTGAATAAGATATTGTTTTTTTTTGCACAAACCGTTTGATCATAAAGTTAAAAAAATCAATTAAACTTTTTCTTTTAAAAAGTTTGTTGTCACCTCGTATCAAACACCAGATGTAGTAATAGTAGAATATCCTAATGAAAACGTTCTCCATACTTTTACACGGATGAGCATTATCATTACCTGCATTCATGTGAATGCAGGTAGTGCAGCTTTATTGAAATTATGAATTTCAGAGGTATTGCATATTGGTTTATAACATTGTGCGAACCAGGCTGTAAACGTTCATTTAATGGCCACTTCTTAATGACACAAGTCTTGTAAAGTGCTGATCCACAGCCCTGCTATCCCATAAACATAGAAAACATGAATACTTTGTGTATCCTCCTTGTAAACCAAGAAGAAATGCTAGCATCTTTAAGTCTCCACATACATCCCACTTGTAACTATAAAATTTTTTAGGACTATAAAAAATTTCAGTTTCATCAAAAAGAAAACGAGCGTCATGAATAAAAGTATGCAAATGTTTAATGTCTCTTATTGTATTTTGAAATTTAGCAGTTTGAATGTAATAAATTCAATTCTTTCAAACGTGATGTCAAAAGTTTGGCACTTGATTTAAATCTTTATTTCTGACAAAGTCATCAATTTCTTTTTGATTAAAAAAATGAGGCAAACCATTTGGTTCCCTAAAATCACAGACATCACTAATTTTATCTGATGCAAGTTCTTTAGAATGATAAGCAGTCGCCTTTTTGGATTGAGGTGAAGGAGGAACAGATAATTCATCACTTTGTGGAACTGGTTCAAAAGAAGATGGTTCTGCTTTTTATACTTTAAAATATAAATTGTGCAGAAAAAACAGTCTAAAAGTTCTCTCCATATTCTTGGAATTGCAAAGAGCATTGAATTTTGGATTCAACAAAGTCATCATTCCAGATTTAATCTGCAGCAAAAATTTGAGTTGTGAAGTTAAAGCATTTTACTTAAAATACTCCAAAGGAATTTATTTTCATAAAAATAACTACACAAAATCTACTATATTGCAACTTCCGTGTGTGACCATGCAAAAAATGCATTTAAACAATTGTTATGACTCTATGATATAGCGACTCTATGATATAGTACAATCCTGTAACTTTATGGAATCTTGACAATTATTTAAGATATTATTTACAAAAAAACCGTATACTGTTAAAACTTAAATTTTCAGAGGAATTAAAGTTTATTTATCTAGTAGCTAAAACTCGCGCTTTTCTGTTCCGTACGTGATACCACTTCAAACTTAATTTATTCTTTCATAACATTACTAATGAATATCGTTCTTTGTTTACAAAATATGTATATAGGTTAGAATTAAATTAAATTAAATTGAATATTAGCAGCTTTATTATTTTGAAAATAATAGACAAAACGTATACGAGTTTACGTGCGCGATTTTTTGGAAGTGTTCTATAGTTAAAATGAACATATATATAATATTTTAATACATCACACATAATGTGTTTTTTGCTACACATATATGTGTATTTTACAAAACCGTTAGTTTTACTCTATCATCGAGAAAAAGCATAGAGTATATTTCGAAGTTTTTATACAAATACTTCAAAAAAAAACTTCAAAATATACTTTATGCTTTTTCTCAGGTCTTGATTATAGAGCAAAACCGATTTTTCCATTAAGTTCAGCATCTCAAAATTATCTAGAAAACATTAAAAAGTTAACATAAACAAAAATGTTGAAACATGATGTAATAGAAAAATAAGATAATTTTAAACAGGTTTGGTTTAACAACTGTTTGGCTTCATATAGTAGACCAAATTTTAGAAGTTTTGCTTTGGATTGTATTAAATGTTTTTTCCACATCAAGTTATTTACTACATCACCTTAAAACAATAGTGAATGCTCTCATATATTGCAAGAGTTTAAGATTAAAAAAATTTAAAGGGATAAGCCGATTTTTTTATGAAGATGATGGAAGAGAATAGTTTTTTTTTTTAATATCTATGGACAATAAGCTCTTTAGCCTAAAGTAATAATAGCTTTATTAGAATAACATTGGTTACGATTGTGATTTCGCCAAAATTAAACCCAAATTATTTTTGGGCTGATTTAATATTCAAAAAAGAATATAACTGGTTTTGCATATAACATTCCAAAATCTTAAAAAAAGTAAGTATGACCTGATACTAGCCTATATTTAAAAAAACATCAGAAGGGATTTATTCAGAAGGGATTAGAAACTAATTTAAAAATTGGTTTAACCTTAGCACTCTTCTCAGGTTTGCAATAAAAATGTTTTATAAATAAATTAAAAGTATGTAAAAGTGATTTTGTTATATTATTTATTGATTAAACAAAGATATTACTATCGTTGATAAGTTCCTGCCTTAGTATTGCAAAAAATGAAGGCTAAATAATATTTATG